CCCAAGTCTTAACACTCTGGACAATTGACATGAGACCTTGGTTTTAACGCCCCGTTTGAATTAGATTGATATATTTCATCGAAGCTCGGATTCACCTTTTCAAATTTTGGAGAGCATATTTTGATTGATAACCTATTTAGATGTTATAGGACTATGAATCCGGCCTTGGGGAGTAGATGTTACCACTTGGTGGCTAATGGCATGGGTGTAGCCAGAAATAGTGTTGTTGCCTTGGTTTTGGTCTGTGAGTGAGAGGTTTTGGGCAACAATAGGAGTGGTTTGTGGTGGCATGTGGCATGTGGCAAGGCGGAATGTGATGGTAGGATGGAGATGTATTCGGTGGTGGTGATGTCCAGAGGTCTAAGCTGCGATAGGGTGGAGTTTGGGGTGGTTGAAGGTGGAGGAGAAGGAGGAGGTGGAGGAACAGAGGGAAAGAGAAAGAAAATGATTTTATTTTATTTTGAATTTTTTAATAATTTATTTGGGAGTTATTTTCACTTATTAAAAAGGTTTGGGAGTATGATTGAAATTAGTTCTTTATTTAAATATGAGGGTATATTAGTTATTTTACATATTTTAATTGAAAAAATGGATAAAACTGATGAAAATGAAGTTTGCACAATAAAACATAAAAATAGGGATGAAAATACAAAAATATGAAACGTGAAAACGTTTTGCATACTAAACACTAAACGTAGGGACGTTTTGCACTAATAAACCTAAAAGAAGAGCCTTTAGCTATGTTTTTCAAGATTGTTTTTATTTTTATATTAAATATGAAAAAGTAACATAATGTACAGTAAATTTGGGGCATATGTACGATAATTTGCTTTAAGTAATAATAATGTTTGGTGGGAGGTGAAATAAGTGAAACGAGGGCTAAAGCACAAGATTCTGTCGTGCATGCTTAATCTAATTTTAGCTGTCAGCCATGTATTGGTCAGAGTGGGATCCGACAACCCTTCTCTTTGCCACCTAAACCCTTTCAATTTTTTTTAAAAAAACTTCTTATAATTTCCAAATTCCAAGTAATAATGATGTCTTGTCCCCCTTTTCTTTTTAATTAGAGCCTTTTGAAACCTCGACGGGGCATCGTGTTACTGATCGCTTATATTCATTGATCAATTTTATTATAATGACGAAATTTTGTATCGTTGATTTTTCATTTTTTTTTCTTTTTTGGTAGTCGAGATCGAAAAGTTAAGAACAACTTAGCAGTAAAGTTTGTGAATGAAATCTTATTTATAACTTATTTGTTCTTGTTCATTTCTATTGAAACAAGATGGAGTTATAATGAAACTAATCTTGAGTTACCTATATTACATGTTGACTAGTTATATATGGATTAAAAATATATTTCATTTTTTCTACTAGTGTACGTGGATTCAAATAGAAATCTTTCCTTCTCATTGTGATGGTAAATTGACTTTATAAAGTGATGAAATCAAGTAATATTATGATAACTTTTGATGAATTTCTTGTGTACGAGACCATCCAAGTTTCCCTAACAAGTATATATGGAATGGAAAATGACTATTATACCCATGTAAGTATATACAAAACAGCATATTTCTCTCATGGAATCGACATTTCAATTGTAATGTGCACTTTTATTTTTTAAAACATAACATTGGTGCCAGATATATAGAAATTAAAGTTACATCTGACCTTGATAGAGCTAGAGTATATATATATAGGTTGAACCCTAATCTTGAGGGCCCCAACCGTCCTGCCCTTAGAGCTTTATGAGGCAGGTAAATCGCGAGATGTACCTCAACAGGTCAGGAAATAAGAGCTGTCTGTACACTGTACCTATAAGAAGTCTAATTTCATGTCTCAGAAATCGAACCCCCACACTGCGGCTGTCAATAAGGCTTGAGATAATATCACTCCTATCTTTTGCATTACTAGGCTATGCCCCGGAGGATAGCTATAGTACATATACTATATTGTACAAGAACATGAATCAGCTTTACAAAATATTTTGAAAGATTATAGAATGATAGTGGTCTGAATTTAGGGGGGACACAATGTTTGTTAAAGTAATGTATTTGATATTAGAGTACAGCCCAACTGGAGAGCAACCCTACGCGAGTGGTTTCTTAGTGGAAACACTTAATTAAATACCTTAAACCAACATCATTAATTCAATCTTCCTTGTCATACAAGGTCTGAGATGACCCAAAAATGACTGGATCGTATCATGATGATTATGAGTTATTAAATGGTAAAATGAATAAAATTTCACAATTCCATTTATTTAATTAATTCGTACTAAATAGACAGTATAGTATTTATAAAGTTTCATTCTAAAAGATTATTCACTTAGCGTCAAATTCAATACTTATTATACATTTAGTCAATATGAGTTTTGTTTGCTCCTTTTTAACATACTTGATCATACTGTTAAGAAAAAATGATATGTACCTCTTGTTGTGGTGGTGGGAGAAAAAGAATTCAATCTTTCGTGTTGGCTTCTACTTTTTACATTGTGATCCTTTAATGATAAATTGTGTACAATTTTCCCCTTTACTTATTGTTCCTTTTGATTAATGGTGGACCTTTGTCCATGAATGCTTTCATTTCTTTATTTTCAAAGTTTAAATCCAGTGATTTATCGTTAACTTATTCGTGGATTAATTGGTGTGATATATCATTCATATTTAACCCCTGTTTCGTAGGAATTAAAATCAAATTTTTAATAGATTTTGATAAAAATCGATAAAATGAATTGTTGAAAAGTTGTAGGATATATATAGTTAAAATTAATTATAACTTAGATCAAAATTTGAATTTTAATCAATACCAAACATAGACTTAATATAATCTAAACAAGGGTGTTTAAGAGATCATTTCTCTAATTAATACTAAAAATTGCATGCACAAATATTAAAACAATTTAAATGAATTAATTGTTAACTAACAACTATTAACTTGTCATTGATTCTCCTTCACTGAGCATCACGAGAAAAAGAAATAGCTTTTATGTTTACCAAAACTATAAGAAAAATGTGAACTAAAATATAGAGTATTTTGAAAGGTTACGATTTTCCAAATGGCTTGTGGCATTTCAATTCTAAACTTTTTGTCGTGAAAATGAAGAAAATTTGCAATAGCGTAACATTTTATTTTATTTTTTTTGCAAATTTTATCCTAACATTTATTTTGTGCTAACCATAAGTTCAAATATTTCAAAAAATATGCACCTAGGGTCCAAATGGATGAAAATTCATTTGACCGTTAATTGACTTAGAATAGAAGAATTTGACCAAATTAAAAATGGTAAGATGGTATAATTTAACGTTTTTTCCACATAAAACAATTTAAAAAAATGAAGAACAAAACTGTTCATCTCCCTCCTCCACCCTTACCCACCCTCGAAACCTACAACATTGAAAATCGGCCATGGCCGACCACTGCCATCCACTAACACGCTACCTCATAGCCACCATCCACACGCAAATTTCAAACAAACAATACATAATATCAGCCAATTTCAAAATCGCTACCTCAAACACAATGAAAATTGAAAACCCATAATTTAAACCCATCAATTGAAATATTATTGTTAATAGAAATTGATGCAAACAGGTTTGCAGTGATGAAACCAGAGTTGTAAAATTCTGAAAATTCATCAATTTTCATCGGAAAAAAATCTCAATGTAAAAAATTTCACTGCAAAAAATGTCATCGGGACCAATATCAAGGGAGTATTGAGATGATGAGAGGTCGTCACAAAGCAGTTAGGAGAAGGAGAAGGACAATATTCCGACGAATCTACGGCGACTACTGATTTATATTCCGACGGATCTATGGTGGATGATGAGTTTTATATCAAGCAGTGGAGAAGATGACCCAAAGATTTGGGTTCCATTTAGCAGTAGAGAACATGGTGGAAGAGGTGGTGGCGACCACGATGGGCTGATTGTGAGCGATGGTGTGTAGCAATATTTTGGTTTTGGGTAGGTGTAGGGATAGGGTGGAGTTTGACGGGAATGGGTTTAATTTCTGTTTTTTATTTTTGTTAATTGTTTTATGTGGAAAAATGCAAAATTATCATTTTTAATTTGGTCAAATTATACCATTCTTAGTCAACAAATGGTCAAATAGATTGATTTCTATCCATTTGAACCACGTATGCATATTTTCAAAAGGTTTGCCACTATGGTTAGCATAAAGTGAATGTTAGGATAAAATTCGCAAAAAAATAAAAGGTTAGAGATTGCTACTGCAATTTTTCCTTTTTCTTTTTTGAAAATTATAAACTCCAATTGATAAAATTATGTCCATATTTGATTTCCATAATAGATTTTGTAAAGTGAAAAAAAAAAAAAAAAGGAAAATAATATTGTGAAGTTAAAAAGTAGCAATCGTGCTCTAAGTATTGATAAATTTGACAAAAAATGTTTAAATACTATACTTGGCATGCATTCATTGGAAGGTGGAAAAAATAAACAAGAAACAGGTGAATCACATTTGGTTACGTCAGCTTTGATAATAAATTTGTCAAATATTTTCTGTACTCGTGACTTTTTTTTCAAAAAGTATAAGATTTTTGAGTTTACATACAAAATTACATCGAAAACGTGAGGGGAAATATGAATATTAACGAATGAACTAAAACAGGAAGCTTGGTGTACCCATCCGCCTTTCCCCGTGCGCATGGCGGCTCACCACCACCCTGGCCATTCTCCTCAATTATCATCATTAATAGCATGCTTCCAAAACAGAACCCTGATATATAAATACATAACACACAGTGTACGTGCGTGCGTGTGTTTCTTTTTCTTTCGGTAGTGCGATGGGGGTTGTCTTGTCAGCCAAGAAGGGGTGGAGGAGAGGTGTGGGGTGGGGTAGGAGGAACAGAGAAGAATGTGGGAGAATGACAACCAAAAATAATAGAAGATGAACAGTTGATTCAAATGTCCTTTGTGGGCCAATCGTAGGGTCAAACCTCAATTCATTAACCTTCCTTGTAACTATTTATATCACCCCTAAACTCTATACTAAACTCATCTAAACTCGAACACATTCCTCTCTATTTACAGTTCTGTAATGGCGGATACTGGTAACGGTGCAGTAGCGGCAAGAAGAATATGTGGAATCCCAGAAAAGTTTCAACTGCACTTGGCCATGTTGGCCTTGCAATTTGGATATGCAGGTTTCCATGTGGTTTCAAGATTTGCTCTTAACATGGGAATCAGCAAAATTGTGTTCCCAGTTTATAGAAACATCCTTGCCTTGCTTCTTCTATTGCCCTTTGCCTATTTTCTTGAAAAGTATGTCAGTGAATATCATTTTGTTTGTTTCAAATTCATATATTCTGAATTTTTTGAGCTCAATGAATCTTATAATGTTTTTTCTTTTTGTTTGATCGTATCACCCAGGAAAGAAAGGCCTCCTCTTAATTGGAATTTCCTCCTTCAGTTCTTCCTCCTCGCAATTGTTGGGTATGATATTTATTAGATCATACGTACTACTACAAACAAAAAGATTTAACTTTTTTTTTTTTCCTTGGATAATCCATTGAGTACTGTCGATTGTCGAATCCCGTTGTGGTTTATCTTTCAAGAATATGTGTAATAATTAAGCGATTTTGGACAAAAATGACAGGATAACTGCAAATCAAGGATTCTACTTACTAGGTTTGGAAAACACATCGCCAACTTTTGCTTCTGCAATTCAAAATTCTGTGCCAGCCATTACATTCCTTATGGCTGTATTACTCAGGCAAGCTAAGAATAACTGCATCTAATATAAGTACATGCAAACACACTGTATAAAGATTACAGAAAATTCTATCTTTTTTTTGTCAAGATCATAAGTTGTACTTTTTTCTTTCTTTTTTTTTTTTTTTAATTTTTATAAATAAACAATATTTTCAGGATCGAAAAAGTGAGACTGGATCGAAAAGATGGGATATCAAAGGTTGCCGGGACAATTCTCTGCGTAGCAGGAGCTTCTGTAATTACACTTTACAAAGGTCCTACAATATACAGCCCTACTACTCCACTGCAAAGTGCTTCCCCAATATTTCTTTCCCTCGGCGATGCCAAGGGAAAGAACTGGACACTGGGCTGCATTTTCTTGATTGGCCATTGCCTGTCGTGGTCTGGCTGGCTCGTACTCCAGGCACCGATTCTCAAGAAATACCCAGCCCGGCTCTCGTTTACTTCGTACCAGTGTTTCTTTGGAGTTATCCAGTTTCTTGTAATTGCTGCATTCGTCGAGAGAGATGCTCAGGCTTGGCTTATTCACTCTGGTGGAGAGCTTTTCAGTGTTTTCTATGCGGTAAATGATCATTTTTGTTTTGTTGCACAAAATTTTAAATCACACATGCGTCTGTCAAACAGTTCAAACTTCTACAAGATCGATCAAATAATCCTTCTGTATCTTGGAGTTGTTGGGTGTGATTTGTAAGCGTGTGTTTGTCTGGGCATATGAAATGACAGCAAAACTAAACTAGGGTATACATCATACATGAATGAATTGGCAGGGAGTGGTGGCATCTGGGATCGCATTCGCTGTACAGATATGGTGCATTGATAGGGGTGGCCCCGTTTTCGTGGCGGTGTATCAGCCTGTTCAGACCCTCGTTGTCGCCATTATGGCCTCCATTGCTTTAGGAGAGGAGTTCTACTTGGGAGGGTACTCTTTCTATTCATTTTCCTCTTGCCAACATTAATTAATTGGATCTTATCAAATTTTTTAATAAAAATATTATAACATTGAAGTTTGAAATGATATTTAGGGCATGTTTGACGAGATTTCTACTTTGTATTGATTCCTTGTAGAAGAGTTTCAAGAGAAATCTATTTTAATTCATTTTTCTCTAAAAATACTTCTAGTCAAATTAAGCATTTTTAGAAAATAATTCAAAAATAGTTTTTTAGTTTCAGAAACAATTTTTTTACTTTTCAAAAGTCTTGTGAAATGAACCATCACTAATTATGAAACTCGATAGATGTTTAATATATTACCATGTTCAGCATCCTTCAATTTTAAAACTTTACCCTTGTTTGGAGTAGATCACAATCGAATTTTTAATAGAATTTGATAAAAACTAATGAAATATATGATATATGGTTGAAACTATATTATTTTTTTCTTGGGACCAAAATAATAAAAATTGAATTTTGAAGGATGAAATTGAAAGTTTCATGAAGTTCAGGACCGTTTGGATGATTTACATTTCTGACTAGCTCTGGTGGTCAAACACAGCAAAAGACTTATTCATGATTGTGATGTACAGGATCGTTGGAGCAGTACTGATCATAGCAGGGTTGTACTTAGTGCTGTGGGGGAAAAACGAAGAAAGGAAATATTCGCAAAGGGCAGCGATTCAGTCCCCCGCAGACCAATCCAACACCAGAGCGCCAAGTCACGTCAAGACCTCCATAACTCACCCACTACTTTCTCAGTCAACTGAAAATGTTTGACCACCAACGTACAACCTATATTTGCAAGAAAAATAATAATGAATCCAATATGCTTGTGTGTGTATTTCATTAGGGTTTTCTTTTTTAATATTTAGTAGCTTTTTCTCTTAAGTAGAGTGGCTTAAAAAGTGGAGGAATGTGATGATTATGGACATATGGTGTGGGGTTTAAACATGGAATCCCATATGGTATGGTATTTTATATGTTAGTTAATACTATATTAATGCTTTGTTTAATTTACGGGAAAAAAATTAATGTGATTTTTTTTTTTTGAAAGTTAATGGATATCATGAAATATATGATAAAAATAAATAAAAGTATGGTTCCAACAAAATTTAACTAATTTTTTAACAAATAAAAACTTGAGAAAAATAGAAAACTACCATTCTTTTAGAAAATACATTTTCAAATTTAAGAAATTGATGAAATCTTTCAAAAATTAGGTGGCCATAATATGACCTCTGATAACAATCTGTGATTTATATTTAATTAAACAGGTCATGGACACATACTAGTTACAAATTATAAAAGATCACGGTCACAAAAAAAAAAAAATAATTGATAGGTTACAATTATATATTTAGTCATAAATCACACGTTTTAATAGTCATAAATTATTTCCTAATTTATTACTAATTACATTCTTTGAGTTAAAGAAAAGGAGACAAGGGAGTGCATTACATCATTTGATGCGGTGACTTGAGGTTTAAAATGATTAAAACACTCTAATCATTCTCATTGGGATCAGCCAATCACGCTTTAGTTCCCACGTGCCACCGAAGACACACAAGTCTATAGATGATATTTAGCGCATATTTGAGCCTCATTATTTTCAAAACTTATTTTTTTAAAATTCATTTTCAATCATATATTTTTCAATAAAATAATATACACGTAAATCTAAAAAATTTTCCTATTTTCTAATCATACATTCACTAAAAAATTACTATTTCAAAATATATTATCCCAAAAAATAGGGCTCAAACGGAGTCTTATCGAAGAGATGTATTTGATAGAGTATAAATCTCTCATTGGTTAAATATAAAATTATTAATTAATTTGAACAAAGTGACATTTTAAGAGAGAATTCAATGCCCAATTGGCATAAGAGTTCATGATGTTCAAACAAGCCATCGAATTTCAAGATTGATGTATTGAAATGAGCTACCATCTTGCAACGCATGCTAAGGCTTAAATCCAAGAAAATTAAGAGGGTGTTTGGTGGCAATTAAAATTCAATTTTTTTAATAAATTGTGATAAAAGTTTTTGAAATGTGTGGTTGAAAAATTGTGGGACATATAAAAAATATTATTAATATTAATTGTTTAACTTTAACTTAGATTAAAATCATATTTTAATTAAGCCCAAACAAGCTCTAAAGAAAAAAATGAAGTAACATCTAAGGATTTGAACTATCCATCATAACAAAGTTGACATTTTAAATAAAGTTAAATCTTAATTTCACTTTAGTCCAATTGTAAATGTATATTAATTGAGATGTATAATAATACTTTCTTGTAACAATGGTGCTCACCACCATTTTGAATCACTCTCACACTATTGAATTTAGTAACTTCGTTAAACAATGTGTTGTCTATCATTATTACTTAAATTGATGCTAGATATCATTATTTATTTATTTATTTTTTTGGACCGAATTAAAGAAGATATATGTGACATGTCACATCCTCCTATTCTGTTTAATGTACAAAGTATTACATGACAAACAACTTATGTGACTAACAAATTACATGTAGATGTAGGTCATTTTTCTTAATATGGCTTCAAACATATGTTATCTTCCATTATAATCATACTTCCTAAATGTCTCTTTGGTTTGCAATTATAACATTTTTTGTTTTTTTTATCGTTGGCTTATTTGACACCATGATTATGCAAAATCTAAATAATGTGACGTCACACATTCAATTATGATTCAGTGCATGCCATTAGGAACATACAAAAAGAGTAGGGAAGTATGTTGTGTGAAAATCAATTAGCACTTGCCCTCTTTAGCACTTTTTAAAATCAACGTGCAATCATATGGGTCCATAATAAGTGCTTATTTGGTAAAGTTTTTAGGAAGAAAGTACATAACTAGCCACCTTTGAAGATATAATTTTAAACTCGACAAACTTTTGGAATTCTTTCAAAAATCAAGTGGCATTAATTAAATATGTAACTAAATAAGTTGTATTAATTAAATATGTTAAGGTCACAATAATGTACAATTTTGGTCATAATTACGTAATAACCACAACCACAGAACATTACAGTCATAAATCACGAATTTTATAGATCATAATTTCTTTTCTATTTACTTCATTTCTTTGGTTTTTTATTTAATTTTTTATGTAAGAAAAATGTAAAGTTATATTTTTGTACTTTTAAAATTAGTCAAAATTGGAGTCAAAGTCAATTCTTCAATCAACTAATGGTAGAATAGACGGTTTCCATCCAATTGGATCTCTATTGCATATTTTTGAATTGTTAGATACATTTGGTGGCACAAATTGAAGGTTAAGGTAAAGTCCGCAAAAATGAAAAAGGTTAGAGATTGTTGCTGCAATTTGTCGTGAATTTATTGATCAAAACACATTTTTCGATCACAAATTATTAAATTAAATGGTTACAATTATTTAATTAAATGATCGCAAATTACCGTTCATCCTTCCACGTCACCCACCCCTCTGATGGCACTACCCAAAACGTATTTTTTGTCTCGAATTCACAATCCACCACCACCACCTGCACCAACAACCATCACCTCTACCTAGACATAGGTGGCACCAATAAGTTGTAGATCACACCCTTGAAACAACCATCATGCACCGTCAGTGGTAGTTCTGTGATTTCTGAGCCTCGATACGAATATCATAAATTGAGCCCCAAAATTTTAGTATGCATGCAAAATCATATGAAGTCAATAGTTAACTTATAAATTTAAAACTTAACAATAAAACATCAAATAAAATGTATTATACAAAAAAATTATACTATAATCAAATAACAAAGCAAACAATGTTTCAAACGATCAGTTAAATACTATTCGTCTTGTGATTTTAGAAGCAATAACATTATTGAAATTTAAATAATCTATCTGTTCGATTATTTCTTTCTCAATTAATAATAGAGTCTATCAATTCAAACTTTCTTGTTATATAGTTGATCAAAGATAAGATAAGATATGATTAACAAAATTTTGTAAGTAATATAAGCGTTTGTGATATCTTCAAATATTGTAGCACTTTAATTACTTTAGTTACCTCATGGCATGTAACTCATAATCATAAATCATCTCAATTAATATTCGAACGTCAATTGTATTTTAGATACTTCTCAAGATTCATAACTAATTGAAAGAATTGCATGTAAAACCTTTCCAAATTTAATAAAAATTAAAAAAATTTCATATTGTATAAATTGTTCAAATCAAAATTTAGAGAAGATAGAACTTAATTCATTATAAAAAAGAAGTATTCAACTGTAAAAGATTCTTCAACTGATTGATTTACCTCATCACTACTACTTTTGTTAAATTACTTCTTTATTCAAATTATACATTTTTATCGGAATAGATCTCCAATACCCATTATACTTGCTTTTTTTGGGGGTCAATTTATCAATGACAATAGCAAATTCAATTTCTCTATGAATTTCATGGAAAAAAAAATCATTGTAAGAAATCGATAGCACCATCAATATCCATGTTTTTTATTTAAAGAAATTTACTCATAATATTGATTACATGTAACAACCTGAAGCAAATTACCATACTAAGCACGAACTCAATTTCAAAGTTCATATATTGCTAAAGACTTCACTTTACTCTTTGTTCAAGAATCTTCGTTGATTTTTGCCAAATCAAGTAACACGTCACTTATTCTAAACTAATAAATTGAATGCTACCTATGTAATGAATAAGTTGAGTAGAATTGAGAAATCACTGCAACATAAGTTTGGGAAATCCTACGCCACTTGTTCCCTTCGTTACATTTGAAATGGACCTAATTTAGAAATGAAATTTTCATAATAAAAAAATATTATTGAGCCTTATTTATAAATGGAATGGAATGATCCTAATTTATCAAATTTTTAATAAAAAAATCTTAGTGAACCTAATATATCAAATTAAAAAAATGAAATACGCTAAAATCCGATGCTCTCTAATGATGGGTCTAAGGTCTGAGGCGATGGCCTCACTCACCCCTGTTTAAAACCAACCATGTGCACCACAAATTGCTGCAGTAGTGTTGTGTAGGAAACAGATCTCCACCTTGAAACAACCATCACTGCACCGTAGATCCCCACATGATAGCGGCAGTGAGTCGCTTGACTCTACTTATAACAGGAAAGAAGTGAAATCATTGGAAATAAAATTAGAGATGTGACTTATATACCAAACATGTTAAGATTTGGAGTTCCATTTTAAAAGATCAACATTGTCAAGAGGAGTAGTCTAAACCCTTATAAATTGGTCTATATTTTCATCTTTATTATATGTGGGATTACATCCCTTAACATGCCTCCGCAAGATGGTGGCTCTTTTTTTTAGCAAATTAATCTTAAAATCCGTATGCTAATTTATTGAGTCTTAATTGGATCGAATCGCTCGTTGTAACTTAATGGGCTTTGATATCATGTTAAGATTTAAAGTTGAGAAAATTACCTAGATCCCTTCTTTTCAAGAGTACATTTCTAAAACAAGTGGGTAAAAGATTAAATTTCATTAATCAGGTGATAAATACTAATTTTTAAATTAATTAATTACAGCCACCCATTCTATCACCCCTAAACACTTCTTTTACCCCATATCTCAATTCATTTTCTAACTCACTGACTCTCTCTTTCTTCTCCAAAAATTTATCAGCACCCTCTTACCCAAAAATCTCATCGGTGGCTTCTTCCCCACCCCCATCCCCACCCTTTAAATTCCGGCCACCTACCACTTCCCTCGTCGGAGTTTCGCACAAATTTCTTCTTTGAAAGCTGATGAGCTTAGATTTTAGGGAAGTGCCAATGCAGTACATGGGTCACCTAAAGCAGAAACAGTGTGTGAGGAGAAGAAAACCCAAACGTGAACGTGGGGACCATATGGTGAAGAACAATCAGATCTATAGCTTCTCTCTCATAATCTTCCTCATCTTTTCGAGAAATAATTGAAGAAAAATCTTTGAAATCTTTATTGAGAAATATTCAGCAATCAATTGGTTTGTGTTTTTTGAAGGTATTGGT